GGGGGGCTTCGTCCCTGCCCCACGGCTCCGCCACGGCCACGCGTGTCCCCTCACCCCGCGTCGCCTGTTGCGGAAACGGCCCCCTGGGCTCAGCGGGCTTTAAGCCCCTCTGTCCAACTGCTTGCCTCTTTATCGCTCTATCTACTTATCTGTCTATCCACAATTTGTTGACTTTATTTCGCTCTCGGGGAAACTGACGGTTCTGAACACGCTTAAAAGCACACAAACACCCCAAAGCGTTTGCCGCTCGTCGGGATTCCGCTCTCTGCCAATGTCCTACTCCTGGTGGGTTTTTTCGCCTGGTGTTCCTCCAGCGCCCTTCAGTCCCTGGTGTGTTCCCGTTCAGTCCCATCCGAACGCGGGTGACATTTCCCAGCAGCCGAGACAGGCCTGGCCCAGCCCCATCCCTCTGTTGCAAAACCCGCTCAGACCTCACCGCTCCTAAAACGCGCCTGATCCAGCAGAGCGGCCGCCCCAGCAGGGTCCGGTTAACGGGTTCGCGCTTCCGAGGGGGCGGCCGGCGCGGCCTCCCGGGACATGGGCATCCTCCCGGCCCCTGGCCTTCCCCTCACACGAAGAACCAGCCAGCTTGGAAATAACAAAACAAAGCTTGTGGCCCTTCGTATTTGAATACCGCGAGGGCAAACACCCCCCTCCTGCCGCCCCTCCAGCCCCAGGGCTATGTAGGTCACGAACAGGAGACAAACATTTAAAAAATAACCTGACTGGAAAAATAGCTTTCTACTCTGTCTCCGCAGGGCGGAATTATTGGTTTCGCATTTAAAGTCGCATGAGGATGAGATAAATTGTGTCTTTATTTTTCCTTGTACTAATTAAATGTGCCGGTAGGAAAGCTCCGTGTTATCACGCAAGGGAGAGATGTCCCTCGTTAAAGCGCATCTCTAAGATTTGGCGGTGTTCGCCAAATGTACTTTAAACCCATCGCTCATCGCCTTTCTTTCCAACTCTCCGTTAACCGGCGCTTATTTCCATCAAAAAACGCGGAGAAAGCTCCAGCCGGCAGCGCAGACCCAGGGGCACAACAGCCCCGGGACGCCGCTTCCCCATCACCACAGAAAACCCACGAGGAAGGGGGATGTCTGTGGAGCGGGAAGGACGGTGACAAGAAGGCTCCGGGGCGTCGGAGAAGCCCGTTAGGAGCTGATTGGGAGGGGTGGGCGGTGGGGCCCCGGAACAATGGAAACAATGCGGGTCAGGGCAGACCCCCCCCCGGCGGCGGCTGGCCGGGCGCGGTGCGGAGCGGAGCGGAGCT